GTTATATAATTAATTAATAACATTTAGTTTCATTTATCAATAAGAAGTTTTTTGAGGATAAAAAAGAAAAATGCAATAAATATTTTCATTTATGATTTAAAAGGTATTGTGAAATAAATATAGTGGAATTTATATTTAATAAAAGATATAGTGAAACAAATTTTACATAATAATGAAATTAAAATATATCCAATAAAAATCTACTAAATGTAAAATTTAAAAGAACTTTTATACTTTAAATATATATATGAAGATAACTTTATAAGCCAGTATAAGTATATTGATTGACTTGTTTAGAGTCAAATTAAAAGGGTAATAAAGTTAAATTATGGAAAAAAATCAAGTAACAAGCAATTAGAGTTAAAAAAATAAATAAGTCATATATTTTAATTTAATTTAAATAATATATTATATTTAATATATAATATCTACGTAATATAATATCTATATAATAAACTTGATCTTTGTGCAATAGTAGTTTTTTATTCTTATTTTTTCTATAGGAAGGACTTTATACTTCATAATATTGTTTTTTGAATGTCAAATTATTTTAAATGAATTTTCATGAAAGTATGATTCTTTTATTTGTTTTGATTTTTCTGTTATGAATGTAATTTTAGTATTTTTTTTCCTTCAGAAATAAATACAAAATCATTGTTTAGAAGTTTTGTTTTTATTTAGTTTATTAATGTTCTTCCTTTTGCCAGTTTTTCTTTGCAGTATGTGTAGTGATCAAAATAAATAAATTAAAAAACTACACATACAGTTTCATTCTACATATATATATATATATATATATATTTAAGCATAGGAATGGTGTTGTCACCAAGATAATGTTGAATCAAAATTCTTGGTCCACTGTGCAGCATCATCATCATCATCCTCATCTTCATCACTCAAAGGGAAGAGGGAGTATTGCCAATATTGTTGTGCAATGTAAAGAGAACACTGAGTGCCTCATCATCATCATAGAAGAGACACTATTTATTATTAATAAACAAATATATCTATCTTTGTGTATATATATATACATATATATATATATATATATTTATATTTATATTCAGTTGGACAAGTCAGCATACAGGATTCACAAGTCAGTCCAGTTGGCAGCTCCCCAGTTTGGCCATGTCATCTGCTGACGTGGTCAACGACCACCTTCCACCACCACCTCACTGTCAACAGGGGACTATTATGCTTCTCACCTCAGGTGTCCCATTTCCTGAATAAATTCAACTTCACTACATGTTATCCTATTCTCCTTCTTCTTCCTCTTATTAAATAAATATGAAAAAGGATTTGTATTACAATGTACAGTGGACATTGCAGAAAAACCACATCATGTGGTTTTTGAAGGGAAACTTTTTTGGGGAACTACTTTTGGTTCCATGACTTGGATTGAACTTGTAATCATAATGTGTCTCCTTTTAAACTCCACGCCCTGAAAAGGAAAAAAAAAAAGAAAAAAAGAAAAAAAAAAGAAAGCATGTGCATTAGGAGGCTGTAGATGATGGGTAGTCTGATGTAGACATCCACCTGGCACGGATACCAAGCTATTATTTTCTAAGAACAATTGGGTGCTTAGAACAATGGAAAAAACAACCCAACATTGGTCCCACTTCTGTATTGAAGAAGAGTGGTTCATCCATCTTGATTCATATTGCATGCATAGTGAGTTAGTTGCTAGGGTTGTGTATGGGTGTAAGTGTGAATACACTTAATATATATGTATTTGTTTTTTGAGGAGAGCCTAGAGAACCTTAGCATTGCAAACAAGTTGGGTAGTGGAAAACTTGTTATTGTGGCTATTGAAAGCCATTTGCTCAATTGGTAATATGTGCTTTATTTGATTTGTAATTTTTTCTCAAAATTATGGTATAGGGTAATTTTATTTTTTCTATAATTTGAAAAAAAAAAAAAAAAAACAAAAACAAAAACAAAAACAACAACATATTGGAAATATTAACAAAAAAGAATTGATGGAACCAAAAAAAAAAAAAAAAAAAAAAAAAAAAATCTAAACAAATATGTTAAGTGGATAGCAGGTTCTGATGATAGTAGCAAAAACTATGGTGGTATTAACAATACCCTACATATGTAAAGATGTAAATATATATTGAAATATGTTCATCTTATCAAAGGTAACCATTTTTTTATTTTATATTACTACACTATGTTTTTTTATTTAAGATTTTAATATCATTATTGATTAATTTACATTTTCTTCCAATATATCTTTATATTTTCTATATGCTAAATAATAAATATTTATAAATGTATATTCATAGTTACACTGACTAAACTAATAGACGAGTTTTTATTTTTTATTTTTTATAAATAATGTATAGTGTAATAAAAAAAAATCATGTATTTTGTGTTTTTTTCTTGTCCATACTTTTTTTTTTTATATATATATATTTTTTTAAATTCTTCTATAACAAATCAAGAATCTATATAATTGATGAACTTATATCATAAAAAGTTTTTTTGTGAGTAGCTATCTTCAAAGATTTCTCATATATATCTTCAAGGAATAGATATATAGATATATCTATATATACATGTACATTTAAATTCTAAAAATTCATAGAGTTATTTTATTGCTATTCTTGTTTTGTTCTTAGAGAATCTTTGTCTAAAAATCTTCTTGCATTTTTATTACCTTTGCTTTAACCTATCAAAGAATGATCTTTGGAAGATAAATAAATAAAAGTTGGCTATACTCAAAGCCAAATAGTAATAACAATAATAACATACTAAAATAAAATAATCTCTTATCATGCCATTCAACCATAAGCATTATGGGTTCCTGTTTCTCCCACCAGATTATCTCCTCTTATAGTAACCAAACATACAAGAAATTTAACACTGAATTTCTCATGGTTTATTTTTTATTTAAAATTAATTTTAAATATATATATATATATATATATATAGTGACATACAAATTACCAAGCAATGAAAAATTGGCTCTATAACTTGCAACACTAGCAACACATACAATATTTTATGATCAACTCTTAAAACTTATGAATAAGAGTCTATCTTCTATCCAAAAACCCTATATCCCATCTATCTTTGTAGAGTAAAGGTTTTCAAAAGCAAAGGTACCACATCTATGATACAATTTTCATCTCCTTGCTAAAACGTTCCCATTCAGAGCCCCTGAACCCGTCACCATAACAAAGCCCCCTATGACCGTGACCCTGGGATGGCTCTCAACCTTTGGAACCTGGTTCCTCAGGCACCAAAACTCCCACATTTAGGGTTCAGTAGGGGGGGGGACCATGCACCTAGATTCTCAATGGATGATATGGCATTTTTTATATGAAGATGCCCCCCCCCCCCTTCCCCTGATGGCTTTAGAGATGTGGGGGGCAATAATACAGCATCAGAATGTTCTTGGTTATGTGCCCAAATCATGCCCCATGGCCAAGGACTCTCCCTCTCCCCTTTTAAAGCAATCAGTCCACTTCTTCATGGGGAACATATGTTGTAGATGTGTATATATTTGTATAATTCGTGGGCTCACAAACTGAATTTATGTATTGAACTGTGTAGGGGAGAGAGTAAGGAGTAAGGGTGGCCCCCATGTCTTGCTTATTCAAACTTTCCAATAATGGGGATCCAGATGATGTAGCTCCTCACCATGTTATTTTTAAAACCCCATGTGCTGATGTGGCAATGCTCATGGGTCAGCTTTTTTGTCTATTATTTAATATTATTATTATTTGCTTTGGTTACTTTCAAAGATTCCTTTGCGTAATGTCTTTTTGGAATATGGATGATGAGTGCCATGGTCAAGCAAAGGCCAATCAATAGTTTTGTCAACATTTGGTCTTTTGCAAAGAATGGTTAGAGGCATTGTTTATGTTCTCAAGCCAAAAATTAAGGAAAAGCATAAGAACAGCACTCTTATTTTAAGATTATATATATATATATATATATATATATATATACATATATCCATGTTTATTTATTTTCTATCTTACAAGTGGACACATTGACAAAAAAATATGAATATATATATATATATATATCTATATTTATCTATACATGTAAGAATAACATAAGTTTAAACAGATAAAGTCCACAACAAAATCTTGTTCTAAAAACACAATTCATTTAAAAAAAATGAAACACACCTGTTGTATCGATTACGTATTTGAAAAGTAGTGTGATTTTAGATAATCTACGGAATAAAAAAAAGATAATGCTTGAAGTAACAAAGTGTAAGTAAATTTGATATAAATGTTAATTCATTCCCATATACTTCATGCTCATGAATAAATAGGATGATAGAAATACTGAATACCAATTGAATGCAACTACAGCTTAAAAGTAGCACACACTACAAAAGAAGATCCATGGGAAGGGAAAACCATGGAAAGAGGACGAGGAAGAAGAAGAAGAAGGATGCCGCGACGTAGAGAGATTCTCTTCGTTGTTGAACTGACCGGTGTCCGAGAAAGAGAGCTGCATAGCATTCCATTAAATTGCATTGCATTGCCAGGGTTTCGAGAAAACGTCGTCGGGACACTCTCCGTGTGTGATTTCGGTAGAAAAAAATAACTCCGCGGATGCTTGACTCTAGTAAGTCACCAGCATACTTAGCACACCGAAAAAAAATCAAATTCCGCTCAGTGATGAGAGTTTTGGCTTTACATGCTGCATTCGCATTTCTTTAGAGGAGGAGGAGGACGATGATTCGTACTGATTGGATTTGTCGCACAAGGACTTAGGAATTGTCTAAGGAATGAGAGCGTGCGTGGAGTGTAGCTGTGGTTGGCATCATTTTATTTTTATTTTTATTTATTTATTTCGTTTCATCTTTTTGCTTTTTTGATAGTGGAGTTGATTTTGTGTCGTATTGAGAGAGTTGTAAGCAATTTTACTTTTGCTCACGTCGGTGTCGAGCATGTTGAAGAGACTGATTCGCTTTCTTGAACCGTGGCGTTTTCATCTTGCCCGAGAGTTGCCCTTGAGCCGTTGAGGTGAGACAACTGTTGCTTTAAGCCCTCAATTATCTATTACCTGAGCATCGAAGTGAAGTCGTAGAGGTAGGGCGATTGTGAAGAGTTTGGTTGAGCGTAGGCGTTTCGACCTTGACGTCCACTTTGATGGTGGTTTGTAACGGAACGTAACAGTTGGTGTTGAGATTTTTGAAGCTCTTCGCTGTTTCATTACGGTGGAACGCGAGTAAGTGCTGGTCTTGCAGTTCACGCAATTGCGAATACATGCCAAGGATTCGTTTCCTGCATCTGAAGTAGTGTTACGTTTTTGAAGGTCAGCCGAAGTTTCAGTAGCTCTATCAAGGCGTGAAGGTATCCGTGGTCCCAGCGTAGGATTGTAGCACTTCGGCTGTGAGGGAGCACTGCGGCGTCAACAGAATTCCCTCTGCTTTCTCCTCCCCCCACTTTCCTCCTAGGTGTGTCCACTTAAATTTATTTACTCAGTCGAAGAAAGACAAGCGTTTACTGAACTTAATCGAAATGTACACGAGTGGTCGTAGTCACTCAGTGCGATAGCGGCGAAATTTTGGAAGATTTGTTACCGTCAGTTCACTGGAGGTAGGAAGGCGCATAATTTTGAAACCTGGCGGGAGGAGGTGGTCCTTGTCATCAGAGTTTACCAAGAGTTGGGAGAGGTGAGTTCAAGATGTCGTGTAAGAATTGATAGTTGATGCACTGAAGACTAAATTCCAAGGAAAATCTTCAGACGAGTTGTTTGGTCCTTTGGCGAGGTTGATGGATTGTAGTGTTGCTTGCTGTGTAGTGGAATTTTGACTTGGAGTTAGGTCCGGTGGTGTCGAAGAAGCTACATGGCTCTCGACGGTTCTGTTTCGACTTTAATAAAGGTCATCACATCTCGGCTTCTTCAATGTACTGAATAGGTTTTTAATGTAGTGATCCGTGCGTTATTGCCTCGCAAAATCTCATGGAGGTGCTACTCTTGTTTGTCTGCAGCTAACAGAGGTGACGGGATTAGTGAAATGGTGGTGCTGCAGGCGACTGAGGGATTGCAGTTGAGCTTATGTCGTAGTGGCTATTTACTTTCTGTGAGTTTCTCTTCACGAATTTGTGCACACTTGGCAAGAGAGACAAACAAAATTCTATAAAATATCTAGCGTGTTTTTGCGCGTCAAAATTTTCTTAGACAATAGTTCTGGGTAGGAACTTCTGATTCCACATGAATCATCCCCTTTTCATAAACCAAATATTCAAGACTTTCATTTAGACTCTATCTACAATTGCAGCACCCTGGAACGTTTGGAGACAATATTTGGACCGTTAATTGTAAATAGACATCAAATTCCCGAAGCTCATGATTGTGAAAGTCCTGAAAGAGGTTCTTCAAACTCGGACCATATTTTTGGACTAGCAAGAATAGGAGCGATGTGGAACTTACCGTTAACGATAGGTCAAGAGGATTTTATCATGCCAAACTCTTGAGGATTTACTCCTGCGCAAGTCGAAGTGTGAACCGATTTTAATCATGGCCACAGGATCCCTTTCGAAACGGATTTGTATAATCCGATCATTTCCGAACAGAACACAGGCGCAAGGTCTAATTTAAGAGGATTAAGTAGGCGCTTAAAGTTTTAGACAGTGTAATAGCTACAAACCTCCTTGGACTGTCCATCCTAAGTCAAACTGTGTAGAGGCCGCATTCTAGTATTCAATTTACACGACAAAGTGGCCTAGGTGCAACTTTTTAGTTTCTTCATGTGATACCTTGATTTTCTCTAGTGTTAACCAGTTGGTGGTTGCCCTCTTTAGATTGTCCCGAAGAATGTCCTTCTGGCATTAGTATAAGGCACTTGAAGACTTTCTCCTTCATTCTTAGGTGGCAGCCTTCTTTCAGGAATCAACTGGAGACCCTGATACTACTCAGTGGCGGCTGCATTGGAATTATCATGCTTACGAATCACTTCTAGTTTAAGACGGGTGACGTTGTGTTGAATTTTGCAGAGGTTTCAAAGATGTTGGAGAAATTGATGCTGAGAGGTTCCGCATTCCTGAAATAGGTAAGTGCAATCTTGTCCACCTCTTCTGTTATGAAAGAGTTGGTTTCATGCAGGAGTCTTTCATAATCTAGAATGCAGTTTATTCATGCAGTGGTCCTCAGATTATGAAAGAGTTGGTTCCTTCACTCTACTTCAGAAGTTGAAATCTGATGACCACTGCATGAATAATGCTTCAGCTTGCCACGGGCAAGTACATTATACAGTGTGTGTACAAAGCATCACAACTGTTAATTCATTTATTATCTTACAGAACAATTTTCACTCGTCAACAGCTGAGATCATGATCTAGTCTTAGTACACCTCAATTGTATAACTTAAACAAATGGCATTTAATCGTTTAAAACGATATACAGCGTCAAAGTCAACCATGTCATATACAGTATTCATGTGCTTCACATGCTTACTGAGAAACGGTTGTCGCAGTTTTCAGTTGGGCGCGTTTTGCATCTCACCTGTATTGGCAAATCCAGCTGCCATTCTCTGACTGAACCGTCAGAAACAAGTAAGGCATTTCGAAGAAGGTTTAGTGAGTCGACCTGTTCTAGCACTAATGGCGATCAACTCAAATCTTCATATTGATGAAGATTGTGATGCACTTCTGCAACCCAAGGCATCAGAAGCCATGGCAAAGCAATTTGGGGAAAGAGGGTTCTTTCGAGCCGGAGCGAAAGCCAGACTTGTGGAAATTTCAGATCTCTTGTGCGGAGAATATGTCAAATTTGGATTTGATGATGGGAAGTTAATGGAGGAGAAATTGAAAAAGATGGAGCTTGAAAATGGTAGGCTTTTAACTCAAGTAGCAACTATGAACTCGAAAGAGAAGGCCATGAACGAAAGAGTCAAAGAAGTGGAGCATCGTATGCAAGATTTAGCATATAAAGTAAGAGATGCAGAGGTACTTATCCATGAACTGCAGAGGAATGAGATGGAGAGCTCCCGAGAACCCACAACAACGTTGTATGCAAACAACCTACAAGTTGTGTGCCACAAAGAGGAGAAACTTGAGCTACAAGAATTGGTAGAGAAGTTGCAACTACTGTGTTCGAGCCAGGAGGCAAACACGTATACTGATAATTTTGACGACCATCAAGAGTATAAACATCAAGACTGCGATAATTCCAGCTCGTTCAATGAGACTAAGCTTTTGTGCTGGCGCAATGACCAATGTGCCGAGTGTAAGGACAGCGTTGAGCAGGTTCAAGAACTTCAAGAGGAGGTAAAAATGCTATCTGCTAAGTTGAAGTTCTCTATAACACAGAGGCAAGCTATGAATGAGATTATAGTGGCGTCCGCTACAAAGCTGGCAGAGGTGATGACAGCAAATGAAACCCTGAAAAAAGAGCTCTATGTTGAGCGCCAACTTGTCCAAACAAGAGAGAATGATGTTCAGAACCTGGAGACGCGTGTGGAAGCCCTAAGCACAAGCAACCAGATGTTGAAGTCTATGCTCAATCTCAAGAAAATGGCATTGGAATCAAGAAGATCTCTAAACTTCACTCTTCTTGAGCCCAAATTACTGGATTTGGCTACCATAGTAAGCGCACAAAACGCGTGTGTTGTGCGGCTTTCAGCCCAGAACGAGACCCTGGCACGCTCTCTCCAGTTCAAAATTCAGGAAACCGAGCATCAAAAAGCCCAAGTTAAAACAGCCAACAAACAGAAGGACGCGGCCATCCGCGCCCTGGAGCAATTTAAGCAACAAATGGTTGACTGGGCTACCGAAATGGACGAGCGCAATCTAAACTACGACGTGCTTCAAGAATACGCTTTAACTCTGGAAGGCGACTTGCAGCACTGGCAATCGGAGTATAGTACCATGATCCAGAGCTGCGAAGAGTTAACGAAGGAACGAGACCAGTTGTTAGCTTGGCAAGGGCTTGCACGAACAAGTATGGCCGACACTGAGAAGGCTCTAAACGAGCGCGAGAAGGAGGTTGAGAGCATCAGCCGCGAGGCACTACATATGAGTTTGGAGGTAGAGCTTTTACGGCGGAAACTGCAACAACTCGATGAAGATGTAATGTTCAAAGAAGGCCAAATCTCCATTCTGCGAAGTAGCTGGGAAAATGAATGAAATCCTCCAGCGCGTGGTCATTAAGCGTTATGAAGGTACGGCACCTACTTGCTTCAGTACTGCCAGTCAGATTCTCCGAAGAAAATATTCTCATGGTGGATTCGAACGCACTTTGGTTCGTTGTTGATGTCAACGGTATCGAATGGTAATCTTCATTGAGTGGGAGGATATGAACTTATTCGGCACCAGCGATCAAGTGCTCACTAAGTTCTTTCATCCTCCTCAGACCCCAATTGACCGATTGGTTACAGTATGTTATTCAGCAGCACACTTTGGGCAATCCCCCCCCCCTGTTTGGCTGAAATGATACTTCCTGGATTAATGTGATGTAAGCCATTCAGGTTAACATCTCCTCCAGGCAGAGTGGTAGGGTTGGTGAGTAGATTTGTCTACTACGAATTGCAGTGCAACCGGGTTTGTAAACTTACCCACGAGGAATGTTTCCAATTGGATGAAATGGTTGTACCGTGTCTACCTTTAGTGGAGATCACTCAAGTTTAGAGACGACTCCCGACTCAAGCTTAGCTGAATTTGTTTTCAGCTATTCCTATATTATGATGACTTGGACGCTTCTATTAGCCAAGAAGTCATCTCAAGCACACGACACAGCCACTTCGGCATGAGTCCTTCAATTGAGGGTCGCTTACAGCCTCACTAGAAACATGAAACAGCTGAGGAAATTCTCACTTGACAAGAACCACGTTGCTTGTGAAACGGTACACCTAAGGAAACTTGCCAGAATCACCTATTGAACATGCACTGGACTTTTCCTTCATCAAATTTTAAGCATCTGCCTACCACAGACTAGGTGGTAACTATGGGCTCAGAACAGACAAGGTTATCATGAGGAAACTGTTTTTGAATAGTTCATCCTGAATAATTTAATACGAGGTAAACCGAATAAATGACGCTATGATGGTCTCGCAGTGAAGATCGCACACTTTAGCAGGCATCTGTGTATCAAACTGCATACGCGTGTTCAATTTTGTAGTTTATTGGTATGACACCGATCCAGAGTAGAATCTTAGAAGACATGATAACTTCATTAGCAGCCACTAGCAGATGAGAGATAACATTCCGACTCATCATCTGCAGCCTCTGCTCATTTGACACTTCTCTAGTTGAACAATATTCACGTTCTCACCATGCAGAGCTCGAGATTGGGCTTCGAGTTCTTGCGTTTTGTACGTTGAAACAGTGAAAAATTGTGCAATGATGTACCTATCAACTGCAAAGTACCAGCTCAGCTTCTCACTCCAGAAATAGGTCGATGTACAATACCCATTTCGAAACCTGCAAACTAGATGTGTGTAGATTATTATGTGCACCTGCGTTGTGCATTGCAACGGAGTGTTGATCTCACCTCTGTTGACTATTTATGTACAAGAAAATGAATCTATTTTTCCTGGTCAAGTTGATTACGGTAAAGGGGCCTTGCAGCGGAGCTGAGGAAGATATGCTGAAGGATGCCCACAGCTGAACTCAACGCTGGCTGCTACAGCCTTAGCCACTTGGGTTCCGCAACTTCGCAAACTAAGTGCTGCGGAATACGATTGGATACACAAGGGATGAGACTTAGGGTACCCTGAAGCTTAGTAAAAGGTACGGTTGCCGGATAACGCTAATGCTTCCCATTCATCTGGGCAATTTCAAGAAAGATCCTGTGAAGGGACTGGGGTTTAGAGAAGAAAGGGCAATGGTCACTCCCTCTCACGGTGAAGACACGCTCGGGAGGATTTTCTTCAACCACTGCATGTTGGGCTGGGAATGGTAAGGCTTGATCTGCAGTGGTTGAGATGTAGAAACGCCTCACTTTACCGTAATTCGAGTGTGTCAAACAGAGCTTCTCCATTGCAGGGGCAAAAGGCATTGGTCTCATTGAATGAGTTGCCAAAACCACATCCTGTCAGATAATGCTCACCGATAAGTCAGTCGCAAGCCGTTTTCAGAGTTCAAAGCATCTATGAATTGGTTTGGTTTACGATCTTTTAGTATCAAAGGCGAGCAACTTGTGTAGCTGAAAGTTCCTTAATCAAAACACATATTGAGAAATAAAGACTAACCTTCGCTGGGCTGATGGCGAAGAAGAGATCTCCTGTTAAGCTCTTGTCGAATGTAAGAGCTGTAGGAGGTTTTCTTCTTCCATTCCCATAAATAAAAATCTGAGCCTTAGTCATGAGAGCATCCGGACTTTGTATCTACTCAAGGAACGGTAAGGTGACGTCAGGTTATTACTTCAATTCGGCCTTTCAAGAAAGTAGAAGACATACATGTAAAACGATACTTCAACCCAGAAATATGACGAACTCATCACTTATCGTTAGTCTTTGGACGGGCCCCTAACGACACGATATTGACCTCGGCTGAATGTGGCTAATAAGATGATAAGCATTTTTTTATTTTTTATTTTTTCCCCTTCGATAATCAATGTACATAGTTCCAGAATACGAATTTCAAGGATTTAAACAAGCTTACATGCTTTGCAAGAACATCAAATGCGCTCTGATTGTTGCTGACCATAGTTGCCGCAATGAATATAGCTTTGGAAATTAAATTTGGAAAGCACTCCATTGCATATGAAATGCAAGCACCTCCTACGCTATGGCCGACCAGAATTACCTTCAAACAACCACATATCTCTTAAGTTAGAAAATAACACTCAAACGTGGAGATTTTTGCTTCATATGATTCGTGCATTGTATGATCACACAGTAATTGTCTGCGATTCGTACAACGAAGTTAGCCAGAGAAGATGGATCATGGAAAAGCTCATGCAACAAATTCCTTCGTATACTTCCATTGATCCAAAAACTCCATCAGTGTTGAGCATGCTGACATAGAGAAGGCTGAGATGAGGAAAACTGAAATATCTACTACTGGCTGAAGCTTTGAACCAATTTACAAGAGTATAAAGAATGTCTGAAATAACAACAATAATTACGACCTCCATGAAATCGACGTCATAACATTGATACATGCTTCACCTTTTCATGACCAGGAGTTGATTCAATTGATTTCAAGGCCTCCAGAAGAGGTTTTGAATATTGCATGAGACTTGTTATCCGGTTAGGATCTGTTGGTTCGATGCCTGAGCCCATCAAATCAACGGCAGTGGCTCTTAACCCAGAGTCCTCAAGCAGCGCTATCGATTTGTACCAACACCAGGCTCCTAGACCTCCACCATGCACCAGAACGAAATGTCTACTCTCCAGGTTTACACCTATGTATTTCTCCTGAAATCAGCAAACCCAACGATTGTTATTTAGACTTCCGATCGTATGAGTTGAACTCGGAATCCTTTCACTAAAAGCTTAGAGACTAGTTTGAGTGAGACTTTAAAATTGTAAGTCAGATATCCCTAAAATTCCAAAAGATTAAATGAAAAAAGGTCTATATATATATATATATATATATATATATAAACAGAGAGAGAGAGAGAGAGAGAGAGAGAGAGAGATAGAGATACAAACATGTGGGTGTGTGTACAGTGCGTGCGTGTGTGTAGAGAGCGAGAGAGTGAGAGAGAGAAATGAAGAAGATGATAATGAAGAAGATGCTGAATTGACCTGAACCCTTCTGAGGTGCATTGATGGTACGGGGTCAAGCAAAGAATCAATGTCTCTACGATCTTGAGAACTGTAACTTCTTGAAAAATCAAGCCTCCCATAGCTTGCCCTTCCAGAGTAACTGTGTCTTGAAGGCTCCATAATGGTTTCTTGAAGCATTTTGCTCCGCGCACTCAGACTTGCTATGTATAGCTCATGCTTAGCCATTGCCATTGCTTGGTCCTTCATTGATTGCTCATCAAGAGTTCCTGTATGGGATGGTTGGATAGACTTCTCGATGCTCTGCTTCTTTTTAGACCGAATGCGAGTGAATTGATTCCCCATTCCTGCCGATATCAAAGATTCTACCACTACGCAGTGATTTACTTAACCATAATCATCAGAGACGTCCCATCGTCTATTTTAGCTGCAATGAAAAAACAAAACAAAACAAATCAAAAATGAAAGTTCTATTATTTTCAGTTGCAAAACGAGTATACTTTAGCAAGAGTTGGTTACTCTGCATCAGAATGTTCCGGCGAACACATATCAAGTCCAGCAGATTCAAAGTCACACACCATCATGTAGCAAAGACGACAGCACAATTCTGCGAATTGCAGAAACCAAGTAGCTAAAGCTGATCAATTGCATTCAGGTACCGCAACAAGACCACTTAGAGAAGACCAAGAATACACGAATAGGTGATAATCACTCTAAGAAACACGTGTCAAGTAGGATGAGGGACAACTTAGAAATCCTTAATGATCACCGTGCCCGATTTAAGTCAACATTAATAATTTATCAAGATTTGTAATTAGACAGACTAAAGTAAGGGAAGCATTTCTCATCACCAGCGAATCAAATGAAAAAGTGGATAGCAGTGGTAATCATAACTGGAAAGTAGAGTTACAATCTCGCTTGCTTTTCACATGCCGACGATACCATAATCGAAACCAAGACGCGGATATAAAATTATATATACAAGAGAAGTGTAACATCGAAGTAGAATCTTCACTCAACTGAAATTAGAGAAAATATAGAGCTAGTTTCTACACAACGAGATGACTTCAGCGATTACAAACAACAGAATGCAGCAACAATACACCAAAACAAATACAACTGAGTCAGCTGTACGATAGAGCAAGCCATCCACTTTAGTATGGGCTTGATAAGAGATTTTGTAGCATCACATGACTTCCATGAACTAGATCAAAATTTCCTCTAGTGTATACAGGCAAGCCAACAACAAACATGAAATCTAGTCCAGGAATCAAGTGGCATCTCTGTAGCAGAGTAAAACCCAGGAATGAGCAACTCAAGGAACTTCAAGGTTGATAGCAAGTAGCTGAGCACTTTTATCTTTCGCTCAATAAGGAAATGTATTTTACCTGTCTCCTCACACAAGAAAGAAAACGACGAACCAAGTATGATGTTTAGAATACAAAGCAATTCACGAGGAAAGAGATCACGATTACTGTTATAACTCAAGGTTGGATAGACTTTAAGTGTCCAAGGGGCAAAATTTGGCTAGGAACAAACCTAAACCGTCTCCGAAAAGATGTCGCTTATTAGTTGTTATCCTCATGAAACTGCAGAAATAAGGCATCTTCTTGAAACAAGGGAGTCTTTGAATGTGTTGATCAGCTGCAAAGTTCCACAACCTTTGCCCTTCGAAGACTATCAAGAAAAGCCGTCGTCAATTATTGGCGGTGGCGTGCCATCGTATTTTCATTCTTCAATGGGTCCCTACAATATGTCACAAAACCGCTCCTCGAAATATTGCACCCAGAGTCGAGCGTGAGTGAGACTGATTGTATGCAAGCTCTTGTACTTCTCTCACCTTCAACAAACGTACTCGACCACCCTACCTCTCCCACAGTGGAATAGAAGTTATAAAACTAATCACAGCGACAGTCACATCGTCCGTTTTGTTGTGAATGCCTGGGACCCTTAACGTCTCTCAGCTGCTGCTACAGCTCAGTGATGCCTACAGACACTACTTGCTGCTGAACACTGTTCATGCGGCGAGTGTTAACTTGAAAATACTGTCGGGGGAACGAGATAATCCAGAGAGATCCTGTTTCGTTACCACCTTATTAGTCGCCACGGTCATATCACGATGTAAGCCTGTATGAAACGGTTGTTGCGGTCGGCTTCCACAATGCAGCACGCATGCACTGCACACTCGCTCCACACGATGATCTGTGCCACTCTTACTCCCGCTACCCGATTCCTCTGCACATTCGACCTCCGAGGAAAAGCTTCAAAATGCCTCACTCCATCCAAAACCCCGTCAGCTCTCACACTCTTCACTCCACCTGTGGCACTCTATCACACCTCGCAGAAACTTCTGCCACGGAAAACCCTGAGCCACAGCCGAGCAATCAAAGCACTTGTCTGTGAGGAGTGGTCCTTTTTAACTAAACATCAATACTCACGTCGAGTCCTGTCAGACATCCGTTACTGTCACAGTCGCTTCCTCCTTTACTTACGGTCGACGCTGTGGAGGCGCGTGCACCTAGCAGCTTATCACAGTTCTTGTAGCAGTCACAGATTTGTACACACACATGAATGCCACGCACCAGCCGTCCTAACTCGGACTCCAAAGGACACTGTTATCGTATACCTTCTCATGTATCTGAGACGACGCCCTCATGACTTCTGCTTAGTTTCCACAGCGACGCTCGACCTCACCACAAGTACACACCTCCCGCTCTCACATCTCCAACGTCAATCCCCGCATTTCGAACGCTACAAATTTCAACAACAGTAACGTCTACCAAATTACACAGAGCCACAGACAGAGCCTACTTACCTTTACTCTCAGCAATATGCGCTTTCCTTCGCTACTGCTGCTGCACTTCTCCAAACTGTTCACCGATCACACTAAACTGATCACGTGCTCTTAAGAATGGACTTCCATAGCTTAAATAATAAGAATTTCGGAGAAAGAGAAGCAAGAAATGAATCTAAGCATGGAGAGAGAGAGAGAGAGAGAGAGAGCTAGGAAGGAAGAATGGAGTTGGCAAAGGGAGGGCGGAATGCAGGGGGGAAGATGCCGCAGCTCCACTTTCCTCTGGCGCCATTACAGTTGGGCATTGCAAAGCAGGGGGCGCAAAGGCTGTCCCACACAATCTACTTGGGGATACATACCTACTACTAGTCTAAGTTAATAAAGGTAATTATCATCCCTATAGTCATCCACTGACGATATTCATCCATCGTATGTATATCCCCCTCCCCTCTTTCACACCGCATGCCCCAGGTTGTGTGTGGAGTTCGGTGTCCATGGGATTGTTATAATGATTTTTCAATTCGTTTGGTAAAAGAATTGTTTGGTTTTGGTTATTTGTAATAGAATTCTTGGCTTCGAATTTCTTTTGTGATAATGAGTCATTTGTTCAAAGGATAAGTCACAAACAAAATTTGGAGAATGTTAAATAGATCCATCCTTGATGAAGAATATGGCATGATAAATGTGATTGGTTTTTTTTATTGATTGCAGATTCAATAGTTGGGAAATGAATCTAGAGGTTATTATTTTTTTTCATGATGGTTGGATGAGTGGGTCAATTTAATAAAAACTTGGGTCTATTTAATAGTCCCTAAAATTTGAATCTGCAACACAAGGTAGTAAGAATTTCTTTACAAGGTAATAATATTTATTTATTTATTGTATAATTTTTTTTTTGGAATTTGAAACACACGGTATGATTTTGAATTCTGATTTGATCATTTTAGGAGTAAGTATAAAAATATTTTGTTTTCCATGTTAAATATATTTCTTTTTTGGGCGTCTTTTTACATTCTTTGATTTTATGGAGATTATATGCAAGGCTCTAAAAGATCAAATGCAAACTATTCGATAGTGTTTTTATCTTTCGAATATAAATATATAAACATCTTTCTAATTGAAGTGAGTATAAAAGAATTTGACAATGAGCATATTTTTATTAGATTAGCTCTTAAGTCTGCTCATAACAAACTTGGCTTCAGGTTTCAAGCTTTTATCTATATTATTTTTCTTATGAAAGTGTTGCATTTAACATTTCATTATGAGTAGAGTTGCAACTCATGGTCTCCGAAGTTGGTAAAAATATGCAAAAAATATATTTTATGTTTTTACCACGCATTCGTTACAAAGATATATTATAGATATTTAGTAATGTCCATAATAAAGTGGCAATTATGTCACCATGGAATCATCAATCTATGATTTATTTTCTGAGACCCCACATTTTATAACTTCATTGCAAAATTAAAAAATTTAAAAGATGAACATTAATATGGATAACTCTTACCTTTCGGGATAGAGGTAGAGCATTTCGAATCACGTTATTGGCATCAATATCTGTCTGTAGTTGATATCAAATATTGTTTCTAAGAAAAACAACGTAAACATTACTTGTTCAGAATGTCACACGATCACTTTAAATTGAGAAAGTTAGAAGAAGCATCTATAGCTACACTTATGGAATCTGTAGAATTGTATCCTCAATCAAAATCCAGAATAAAAAATATTCTATCTCACTTCAAACGTGGAAAATCAGACAGTTCATAACTGCTTCGGAGGATCTTTAACTCAGTCTGACATATTCTTCAAACTTTGCAATGTACAGAAAACTCTACATTCAATACAATTTAGTGTTGGCAAAGAATATTGTGGTCATAAACATTGCAAGTTTACAGGTAAACCACCTTTGTACAATGTTGCAGGTGCCAACTCAGCAGATGCAATATGGGCATAGTACAAGGAGAGGGGGGCAATACCTACACAGCATGGATGTATGACACCACACAGGTTAATACCAATGCTTTATCCTAGTTTCAAGTTAATCAGTATCAGCCCCAAAGGACACTATATTCAGTGGTGATAACAAGGTTTGTAATGACGTGATTTTATATGATGGTTACCCACTTAATGCACACTGCTGGAGCAATTCTTCAGCTAGTTACTTCCCACTCACAAGAACAACTATAACTTAGAGAGAAGAGGTATCATCTCAGACTGGCCTCCCTTCATTGTGTCCTTGTGACCATTCTCATCAGTCGCATCATTTGGTGGAATGTCAATGGCAGGTGAGCAGTTGAAGAAGCCATGTGGCTGTATCAAAACAACGCAACCATATTATACCACTGTTTCAGATGAATGGAGCATGTGTATCTAAGATTCTTTAAAAACAGTTCAATAAGCAAGGTCTTACTGTTGCAGTGCATAGTGCAAGGTTTAAACACGACAGACATACTCACCATCAAACTGAATCCAATGTGCTCCACAGGCATTACTGGCCAGTCTTCAAGTCTAGGAATGTGAGTAACTCCAAATACATACCTGGACTCCGAGGAAAGTGTGAGCATACCACAGCAATTGCATGAACAAACATTGAGATACCTCACCATATTAAGACTACAACGCAAACTCTAACAATCCCCATGTGACGAACGAACTCGTTTAATTCAGTTACTAATCGAGTTTATGGTAGACATTGCAAAAGCTCAATATTTTGGTCCAGAGTGATTCAAAAATCAAAGAAACAGAATCTAGTTTCCATCTATTCATACTTTCTGAAGCACTTCCATCACATAGATGGTCGAAAACGTGTTTGTGACATTGAAATCCAGAATCTACTGTGGGCAGCAAGACATCGAAAGAACTCACCAAAGCACAATATCTGTCTCCTCCAATTTCCGATCCTGCTTCACCCATGTAGGAAGACCTTCACCGACCCGGGGATTTTGATTGGGAAATTCTCCACCTGGGAAACACTCATCGGGGTTGTATTGGGTCACCCAAAGATTGTGTTTGAGGAATGCAGCTCGTCTCAAGAACTTTGCATCTGGCCCAGCAAGCGGCAGACAGTTGGAGCCCGGAACTAGTTTGTAGCCAGTGAGCTGTCCGGTTCGATTGAATGTTCTCGTATTTCTTACCTACAAAGCCAAACATTTTAGTTTCGTAAGTTCCTCGGCAGAGACTCATGCTGTAAAACTTGGGTCCAAATGTAGTCACTATGACATGTCGTAGTGTCCGATCAACAACCGATGGTAAGATACTAAAATTTTAAACATAAGCAGATGAAAAACATTCGCAGAAATTAATGAGCTTGATAAGAAGAATCTGAAGACTAAAGGTCTGCTTCTTACGATCCAATGTCGCGCGCTTAGGGCGTTGCAATCTCTCAGAGCCTGTTGTTCTGATCGCAGAAGAGTTTCCTCAGCAAAGAATGCGTTGTTGTGTGGGTTTTTAGGTCCTGGTTTCTCCACCTTCACATTCACTTCCACCACCTGTGCAAGGATGAAATTGAGTTATGTACTAAGAGACTGGTTCCCTGCGCACCAATACATGACTTTAGATACCTTTATGTAAGAAAAGCCCCTAGTTTTGTACCTGATTAAGTCCTTCGCCAGGTTTACAGTCAACAGCCATGTCCAATCGGGCGACGAAAAAATGTTGGTGTACCGGCGCATAGAGACCAGGTGCTATCACAGTCCCATGTCGACGGTTCTCACCCGCCTTTAGAGCACCTAAGCTCAAGACGCCAGTCAGCTTCACTTCAGCTTCAATCTTGCCATCCTGCAAACAGACATTATAATTTTCTGTTCAGAATATGGAACCCGCGGCATACTGTCGTCACAGTTTGCATAATTTGCGAGGTCTTCAACGAGACTCCAAGCACTAAACAGAACAAAACTTTCAGAACATACCTCCAAAGCCATGTCAGATACAAATAGAAGCATATTAAAATGGTTATCAACTTGCAATGAATTTGAAAGGGCAACTTCGAATTGTAACATGCTCCCACATTTCTTAGGTGGAAGAATTAAAATGCTCATTATTAAATATTTGTTTTAGACCAAAGCTAATTGTCTCTGGCAACTACTTCAAAACAACAAGAAAAGCAAAGAGACATTATGTATCCATCTAGAGTCACTTGAAACTGCAAGAAAAACACACTGAATCCCAAGGTTTGTGAGAGCCCATTCACAGCATAATGCGTGTGTGCGTTATGTGCAGAATGAAGGCACTTTAAACAATCCCCATCAGCACTGTTTCCATGGAGGGCAAGGAGCGCTCAAATAAGAGCAGAACACGCAGCTCGTCGAAGCTTGCAATTCCAGTAACCTCTTTATTGATCCTCGTCACGCATTAGAGGAGGCAACAAGGGCCCAGATACAGCTCAGGTGGCTTCATGCCAAAGACCACAATTTAATTGTTTCATAATCAAGTATACCACGTCTATTTTCCTCTTTCTAAATCTCTCGCAAAAACTACGGTAGTCACCGAACTATGGCCCACGCTCCCATTATGCTCCTGTAATAGACCTTCGGCCACATTGGAGAGGGATATTCACCACTGACAGCAAAGGGCTACCCAACTACACCACTACTCAACACTAGAACTCATCCAAGTTCACATTGCTAAGACACAAGAAGTAAACTGTGCACATACTGCTACCAGGACAAACTCGAGCATTATTCATAAAATTCATCTGTGCTAGAGTGACACAGCCGCCTTCCGTCACGTTAAAAACCATGCCAGCATCTAATACCTTAATGAATCTAATTCCATAACGGCTTAAGGCGCGGTAGCAGCAGTAGTCTGTAATACCCTACTAAGTTTTTGTTTCCCTTCTTGGGCTACGAGGATGTGTAAGACTCAGAACTTACCTGGAGCTGTAGATCCTGTTCTCAACTACTCAACAGGTCACAGATTCAGAAAAAACACTGCATTTCAACTACCACAATCAGCCCTCTTGCAGCTTCAGGCATCTGGCACCCATTATGAGCTCACACCTGTAGACTCCTTTAGCACCGAGAAGCTACAAGAGGCTTATCATAGAAATGAAGATTTTGAAGGCACATGTTAGAGATTTGGACAAAGACAACATTTCTAACCCACAGAAACTATTACCCCACGGCTTCCGCTAACTCATGAATTGGTTCATCGCATGGACTCCTGCCATCGGGAACTAAAGATAAACGATTGCAGCTAGAGCTACTTCGGAGAGTTCTGCGAGCAAGTCTGACTAAATGAAAGAGAAAGCGTATTGCAGTAAACTTTTAGTACTGTGTTACATCCGCCAAACACTCTTCATCTTGATGAAAAGTTACATGTGCAAAAAACACCGAAATCCTTTAACAAGTCATTTATGGGTCCAACATGCAAGTAGGTAAGCAGTTAGAGCAGTAAACCTGATAGAAATGCCAGTAAAACCCGTACTCGTAGTTGGCGACAGTACAGAAGAAAGAAACTGTTAATCGCCGTGACCGACGTCTTTCTGTAGAACCAGTTCGCCAATCTTGATGTTTCCACAGTACACCATGATCTTCTTCATGCATGCAGACACAGTTTTCGATTGTTTCAACTCCTCCATGGAAATTGGTAAAATGGGCATCAAAATACTTGATCAGGCCCAGACAATCACATCCCTGCACATCTTTTCAGTGATAATCAACTCCTCAACAAATCCATTGCATAAAAAATCTTCACGTCAACTGTTCTAGTCTTTAAAATATTGTGTAGTTGACTAAAGTATTCTGTTCAGCGAAATGAGGATAAATAACAGTATTTCAACTTGGACTGGAGCTCAATGGTTGCGATTAAGAAATAGATAGACTTAACGTGATAGAATTCGTCACAGTGAAGAGCAAAGTACTGACCCGTCTTAATGAGTGGCAGTTCTTTCCAAGACCATCTTCTCCTGCATCAAACGCGTTCTTCCTGTAATGAGGATCCTTTGGATCACCGTAAGGAACCACCATTTCAACGAAGCTCAGACGATGTGCGACTGATCGTCTTCCTCGACTCCCATCGTCATAGGCGACGGTATGAATAACCAATCCTTCCCTTGGAGTAAAACCAATTCGAAAGTTCCACTGTAAACAAAATTCCCAGATAGAAAGTTTAAATAATAACTATTATTAGTTAAACTAATATTATGTTTTCGACACAAAAGTCGAAGCATTTTTACCATTAAGCTTAAGACACAATCAAATACCTCCTGTACAACCTCATCTGAAAGTTTCGGCACGTTATGTTCTCTCCATAGCATTTCTACGACACATGATCTTAATCGCTAACCAATCATCCAGAAAGTTCACGAAATGTACCTTTTGCCACTCCACTGCATACCCGTTCACACGAAAACTAGGCCCCTCGGGCTGAGAAATGACCAATGGCTTTATGTCACTCCTATCGACGCCTCCGCGAGAAGCAGCAGGTGTGTAATTTCTCAGAGGATCTGGTGGTGGTAAAGGAACCAGATACCTGTCCTCACACTCTATCACCTGCCATCTCAGGACGTTTCCAATAAGTTGGAGAAGAAAAGGGTTCAGGTGAGTTCACACAGCTATGTTTCCGTCATTAGAGATAATATCTCCAAGGACGTTAGATCTGTCACGCACAATAATCAAAGATGAATAGACGATCGATACTGGATCTTAATATTTCCGCGTCATGAACGATAAGGTAAACGTTATCACCTCCATTTTTTGCATGTCTACCAGGACGTGTATACCCTCCACTGGTCGTGCATATCCATTCTCTAGAGGACAATCGCTCTCTGTTCTACAAAATATCAACGGCCTTGCAAGTCTTCGACTGGGAGAGTCTTCCTCACTGTAATACCCGACACACCTGCACACAAAGCCCACTCTAGGTTAACTTCTCCAAATGTGAGCTTGTCTACAAGAACCATGATATGTACAACTGTACCAGCACACAAGGCATTGCATGACTTACATGTTACATAAAAAATGCAATGCAACCACTATTCTAAGCAACTTACACGTCATATTAAACTTTGTTTTTATATAGTCTCAACTCTACCAGCCTCAGTGTACTTCGTTATCAAATGAGTATAAAGACAAGAAGGCTCACCAGGGATCCACCATCACAAGATCCATATCCTCGATACCCCGTTTCTTCATGGCTTCAACGAAAGACGGATGCTCTTTCACAGTTGCTTCACATTCAGCATACTCCACAGCATCCTGACAGCGCAGCACGAATTGTAAAAGTCACTTACAGAACAGTGATAAAAGCCCCCACAGGCACTTCTCAAAGAATTAACTTCGTGCCACCTAGTAAATGAGAAAACTAACGACTACTACAGAGACTTAGCACCCCTACCATAGGAGGCTGAACATCTGGAATTATGTCAGAAGACATGACTTTCCCGCGATGATGTCCTCCACGAGCTGCGGCGTGGACTTCGCTAAGTTCCACCACCCATACGCTAGTCACATTTGTTCTTTTGTTGTAAACAACGAGTCTGGCCTGCCTATGTGGTAGCTGTAAGGACGGATAGATTGTCGGTTTTCCTTTGGGTTTAAACAGCATAGGCTGATATGGAGGGAAGAAATAAGCATCTGCCATAGCCACCACATTCTTATCTGGTTCATTGAGCACTACCTCCACAAATCGCATCCCATCCCGCACCTGGAAATAATAAACATTGGCAAAAGTTATAGAACCCTCAACCAACGTAAACAAGATCATGAAGAATAAATTGCGTCAACAATCGTACACCGATTGAGAAGTAGCACTTTAGTGAAGCATATCTTCCCTTAAGTTCAACCTTTAGTTGGCTAACAGTTAATCGGACAAAGCCGACACCAAACAAGTTCAACAATTGATGAAACGGCGAATTACAGACATGGCAATACAGGCAGTTGTAGTGTCAATACAAAACGAAAAGCGGTGATGCTCGACGTCCACAGCAGGGAAGAACTGACAAAAAACTGAGGAGACAAACATGCCAATCTACTCTTCGACTCAGTAGTTCAGGTTACAAACATTTCCGACTAAGAGATAAGTGATAAGCTCTCAACTGAAAAAGAAGGGAATGAGCACATCTTGTACACTTACTTCTGGTGTTTCACCTGCCGCCCTGACAGTGGCTATAGCAACGGCAATCTCGGTGGGACTCAAAGGATCCAAAGGGTGCGCTGACTGAGACCTCAAGACAAGCATTGGTGCTCCTGCGCAATTATTAATGATATGGACAGATAAGGCACCGGCTTCAAACTTTAGACAATGTCTCATGTTTCACCTACTGTAGCACTACATACTCCATTATATTAGTCCTCACACAACGACCAACTGTGGCTCTTTCAGAAAGCCACCCAAACAATTCTGCAATCATCGGAGATTCGCGTCGCTACGAGAGTGCTTCCTCTTTGGACTGACAGAGAACAACAAAACAAGCATCATGATAAGTGTGTTAATTATATATTCTCGCGGAGTGCTACATCTCATGTTCATGAATTATATGAACCCTTTCCAGGAGATTAAAAACCTCGTGCGCAGTTAAACGTACGGGTCATCGTCAATCTTCATTGCTCAGTTCACTTGCGGATCATTCGAGGATGCACAACGACGGACATTGCGCGTTTTCTTCCCAACAAAAGATATTCCTACCTTGAGGGTAAAATTTCTAGAATTCTTAAAGCTTCGTTTAGGGTTAGGAGAGCTAGGAAGCAACCATGTTTTCCACACATGAGCGTAGTGAAGCACTTGTAACAACTGTCTACAGGAGAGATCGGGTGATGCGCTTGTATTAGGCAAAAGCTTGTATGAATAGTGAAACTACAGAAGAGGTTAGGTCCGCACATCCGGATGAGAAGATTAACCTTAAAGCTCACATATTGCACTCATGGTCTCAAACTTCGACTCCATGGTGTTGTGAACGAAGAAATATGCGCTGAATATGCCGATACGGGTATACATCACATATCTCATCGATTCAGCCAACTATTAACGTCGGCATATCACATCAGAAGATGTGGAAGCTGTTAAACGAGACGATGCTTAACTACTGCTGCCCAGATGCTCAGTGCAAATCCACTGTTACGCGCTCAGCAAAATGTAAAACCTTGAGCAGTCTGGGAAGAGATGAGGACGCTGTTACAGATATTCTTTTCGGTATCTACAAGATTCTGCTCAACTAGCGGGCAAGTGTTTTCAACTCTTTTTAGTTTACAAGGCCATCGCTCCATAACTTTTGTATGCTTTCCGATGCCTAAACTTAATGATTGTTGAAATTCTCTAAACACTACTACTTGGCGACGTACACGTCAATAAATTCGGATCCTTACGAGCTTCCACGGCCATTCATCCAAAACGGTGAAGGACGCACGCTCAACATAATGATCAGTGAAAGACCTTGTTCTAGTAATTATATAAATAGTGCACGGATCTATCCATCCTCAGCAGCAAGTATACTATCGCTCTCCGAAAAACGTGCTAGAATTTAGACTTTGGGTGAACAGATCTATCTTTGCTGTAGCAGCTCACATGGAGCGAGAAATTAATTGAACAGCCGAGTCTTTTCAGAAACGGTAGTAGACACGGGAGAGCGCTGCAAGGGATAGACATGCAAGTTAAATAGGGAGAGGGTTTGTGTCGGGCGAGGAATGCAACCTTTCAAGGTGCTTCCAGCAACCGTGGTTGCAGAATCTATGGAACCGTAAGGAACCTTGATGTTCCTGTGATGGTCTTGTTGGTCAATGTGTTCCTCCATCATCCCTAAAACTTCTCCTGAGGCTGGCTGAGGCTCCAAACTTCGAGCCATGTTGGTGCCTAAGAGAGACGATTCAGACGAAAACGAGGTTGAAGATGCGTCCGAATCGAAATCCTCGAGAGGAGAGGCGGGCGAGTCGCAGCAAATCTTCGGCGACTTCGTATGTGAGGCCATTGACAGGGCTTTTCTAGCACCCCGATGCCTGGATACTCCTTCCCTAGACCCGCACTATCAGACATACACGCTTCTTCTCTCCCCAACCGGCTGTTTCTCGTCGTTACAAACAAGCTCTCGCAGCTATCGTCTCTTCTCGATTGCAATTCACTGCCGAATTCCGCTCTGCTGAATCTTCACCAACAACCACCTCCACCACTTTCACAGCTTCTTGTGTCCAGAACAATATCAACAACTTCCCGCTACGCCACCCTCTCGCTCACTCCAAGACGTCGTGCCACTGAGCCACGAACACTATTCGTCAACCACTCCGATTTCTCACACTCCAAACCAGTCTGCAATGAACCTCACGGCAGGGACTTCGCAATGACCAGCGCCTACTCACAGAAAATTGATTCCAGCAGCAGAAGCAGCGAGTAAAACCGCACGCAAGCCACGCCGGGAACCAAGAGGGAGGGAGGGGGGAAGTAAATGACGACGATGACAATTGACAATATCAGGGGCCAGTGGCAATGGCAGGGAAACATATACAAGAGGAGCAGTGGCGACGCCGCGAGATTTCAGGACCTCGGCGACATCCCAATAGAATCATTTGACTTTGATCATCTCGATGGGTATCTGGGATGGATTATTATACTAGCACCAGTGCGTATTCTACGCCTCCGGGTACGTACCCCGTTCCCCTACTTGGGAACGCGTTCCTTGCTCTCTCTCTCTCATGTTGTGACGTGGCATCAGAAAAAATATTATATTTATCCACAAACATACACTTATATCAAATTTGTATCAAAGCTAGAATAAAAATCTCTTCACATTTCCTGAATTTTAGTTTTCTTCCTCCCAATATCTGGATTTGGAATTAAAATTTTCAAATAAATCCCCCTTCCATGGAACAATTTTTTTATATATAAAATTAATTTCTTAATTTCTTTCTTCATCTTCTTTGTCTTCGTCTTCAATTTTTTTTTTTTTTTTTTTTTTTTTTTTCAATTCTTAGTATGTAAGTATATTACTGGTAATTTTTTTGGTCTTCAGCTTTCATAATTATTATACAAATGTTGGCACTGTTTATGTAGGTTGACTATTTATTTCATTAAAATATCAAAGTAAATAAAGAAGTAATTTTTGTTTTGTGGCTAAAAATATCAAGTTCGAACTGGTTTTGAAATCGAGTGAATGTAAAAGCTTGTGATTATTGAAAATTAATTATAGTTGTTTTAAGCTAAATTATACTTGTACATGATTATGATTAACTCTCTAAGATTTTCAGAAATGTTTATCTTTAATTAATGATTTAGTTATGAAACGAAACACCAATAAACTGCCTTACACAATAAACCTTGATTAATGTAAAGTTCAAAACGTATTAAAAAAAAAATAATACATGTATTAAGGGTCTCTTTCTTTTTGATTTATCCTTGTGCATGATAAACCAATAATACATTACTTGTATATAGTGGTTTCTTTATTTAAACAAACTTTAATACCATATATTACTCAGAAAGAAAAATATATATATACTTTTGCATGACAAGGAGAATGAAGTTAGCATAGAAGTTGGAGTTTAAGATTTTCAAAATTTTGTTAGATTTCTCACACATGTGTACAAATTATGAAGTGGCATAAAAATCATCTTATTTTCATAAGGTCACACTAAATAATAACATTCTAAAAAATTGTTGTTACAAGTAAGAATTGCCTAATAACCAGGACTTCCATAACAGATTTCAAAAAATTAAGAAGTTACAAGCAATTATTTGTTTGACATTATAGCATAGTTTATTCAATGATAGCACATGACATGATTTATTACTTTTATTTGTTTTACAAATGTGTTTGAAAACAGTAAACTTAAGAAATCTTGATAAATTGTAAGATTATTTTTTGATAATTTCAAATCAATTCAACTCACCACATAAGTATAATTATTCCTTGCAACTTTTCTAATCTAGGAATAATCAATAAAATATAAAATATAAAATATACTACATGAAATAAATTTTGCCAGAAGGTATTACAAGCTTTTAATTAATACCAGCATCAAAAAAATTAGTATAGCAACCTCAATTTCCAGTTTGGCATTAATAATTTAGTTTAATTATTATTTTATTTTTTGCATGGAAATTAGCTTTTAGTGCTAGTTCAATGTTTACAGTATATTTTGAAGAAACTGATAAGAATCTAAACACAAATTTTATGATTCAAAGTCACATAAGTAGATTAAAGAAAGGAATAGCCAATAATGTTAAGTAAATCAATTGTTGAGATGCAAGCAATGTCAATCAGTAATATAAATGAATTTGTTTACTTTTGCTAGTTTAACAATGGGAGTGCACACAGTGAAGTAGTATATAGAAGAAATACAAAACTCTATATTGAAAAGTGGTAGTGATAATTAAGTAGATAAAATGATGAGATATACATATTGCAAATAGTTATTAACTTTATTTTCAATGAAATCCTAAAAAGATAAATTCTCCTTCAACAAAAAATTCCAAATGAAAAAGGAAATGGGTTTGAAGTGAAAAAAAAATAAAGGATAAGTAGTGACAACATAATTACTATAAAATATTAATAAAATAAATGAATGAAGTCAAGTATTGTTTGAAAGAAAAATTAAATCCTAAAATATATAACAATAGAATATAAATATAAATATAAAATTAAAATTAGACTCTCTATAAAGAAGGTTAGAATTTTAACAAATCATACTTTCAAAACTTATAAATATACTGTGTTATAAAATAATTATATTTTTTATTTTTCTTTTGATGTTTTTTCAAAAAGGAAAAAGGTTAATATTTTCAATGATAATTAAAGATATAAAATGATTAATACATTAAAATTTGATAAATCATATTAAAAACTCTCTGTAAACGAAACAGTAGGCTACATATATTAGTTGATATTGTACACAGTACCTTGATTTTCCAATAAAAAAATAGTTTAAGATCGAAGTTTAATGCTGATCTGTAATAATTGTGAAAAATTAGAGGTTTAATATATATATATATATATATATATATATTAGAAATATTAAAAAGAAAATGGCAAGGTTGTTCTAATATCATAATTGGAATTTATGATCAAATTTATGATCAAACCAGTGCTTTGCTTCAATTTTAGAACATTTCTATTTCTTCAAGGCGATCAATTAATGTTTTCGCACGTATCTGAATTTTATGAACAAAAACATTAAAAAAATCAAATTAAGAGAATCAATAACTGTGAGTTTAAACGTTATCTAGAAAGTAAGTTTCATTCTCAATGTATATAACTATCAATTATATGAATTCTATGAATAACTCTACACGATTATTTATTTATTATTAATTCTTGGTACTTGCTCACATATTTTATTAAAAGAAAAAATTACTACGTATTAAAGTACAATTTTATATTTAATCACAAACAATATATATATATATATATATATATATATATATCCATTCTAAAAAAAAACACGACAATAGGCGTTTTTGCATTATTTTTATTAAATTTGTTTCACATATTGAGTTTTTAAATTATATTGATAAAAATTGTACTCATAATTTTTAAAAATTAGAAAAAAAAATATTTAATTAATTAATACTCTTAAGCGTTTTGAAAGATGTAATCAATGTATTTTTTAAAAGTTACAAATCTTTATAAGACACTTTATATATATATATATATATATATATATATATATATATACATTAGAAATTTATAAAACTTGTTTGTATGCTTTAATTATCTAGAATTCATCACTGATTCAACATATGATGAATATGCTCAAAACTAGAATTTATCTACAAATATGATTTATTCATATTTTTTGATAATTCTAAAATATTCAAATACCTTTATATATTGTTTTATAAATTTTAGAATTCTATATGTAAAAGTATAGTAATTTTTAGGTGCAAAAGTAGCACTATTAAATTTATGACATAATTACACTTTGTAGTGTCATTATTCTAGCATTAACAAAATATATTAAATTTTTATTTTAAAAAAATAATTTTAATATTAGAAATATAAATTTTTACTTTAAAAAAATATTTTTATGAAAATGAAATTAATTAAATAGATTGTAAATATACATAAGTTAGTAGTAATTTTTCATGGACATGGAACTAATTATATTTACAAAAAACATCTAAAATATTAGGATTATTTTAGATTTTTGGTCTTTCTTTTGTTTTTTTGGAGATCCTTAGAAACCTTCAAAATCTGATTTACCTTCAATAAAATCTTAAAGTCATTTATGATTATCTAAAAGTTCTTAAGAACATTTTTTAAATTATTTTTTTTATCCTTGAAAACCTAGTTAGAATGCTTATTTTTATCAGAATTTTATATATCTTCTAAAATTGATTATATATATATATATATATATATCTAGGAATTTAGTGCAATTTTTTTATTTGAAATGATTTTAATTCTTACATTGATATTCTTTTAAATATATAGATCATTCTTATTTTAACTATTTACATTTGGTGCATCTAATTAGATATATGAATATTTAAAAAATAATAGGTTAAACAAACTTTTAAGTATAAACGAGAATCTAAAAGAAAGAAAATTATCGTCTTCTACTTTGACATTTAAAACCAAATTCTACGTTCATAAAAAACTGTTTTAAGTTTAAAATAGAAAATATATTTTAATAGATTGATGTGACACTATATAATTTAGAAGTAACATAAGAAAAAATAATCAAATTAAAAAAAAACAAAATAAAAATTGATTTAATTAAAACAAAATATATTTATGTATGAATTTCATTAATATCTTGATTTTTTATTTCAAATAATTAAAATAATTCAATAAACATTGAAATGAATGTTAAAAAATATAAAAATATTTTTATTAATTTAAATTATTTCAAAAAATATACATAAAAGTAAAAAATATTCACAAAAATATGTTTTAAAGAAAGTGCTCCCTAATATCAATATGTGTAAGTTATTTTTGGATATCATTCAGTTAGAAATTAGAACTTAATAAAAACTAGTAGGCATACAACTATAAAATCAATTCATCTAATTTATCTTTTAATTTTTATAAAAAAATACTTATTAGTTTTATAATAATATATACACAAAATATTATGTATTTTTATTTCAATGAAATTTTTTCCTGTTAAAAAAAATAGTGTTTCTATTATGATTATGCAATTTTTCAACGTTTTTTAGGAGTTATTTGAACTTCGTTTTCTATCTCAAAACATTAAAATTATCACCCTCTGTATAATTTCCTCAAAAAGCATTCTTATTCTTTAATTATCCCGATTGTCGAGCCTGTATACCTCTAATTTCGTTTCTCAAAGTACAAAATAGTCATATATATATATATATATATATATACATCATAAATTTATTTTAAGTATATCCTATTCAAGAATGTGAAATTTTTTATGGTTTTAGTTTTATAACTAGAATCTAATATACTATTAAATGTTATAGACAAACAGTAACACTAAGGAATAATCTTGAAAATTAATGA